CAATCCATATCATTTTTTCTGTATGGTAAAAATACATATACAATACAATTTGCAGTCATATGAAATATCTAGAATAGGCACACTCATTGAGACAGAAAGAGATTAAAAATTACTAGGAGCTGGGGGAAAGGGAGAGTAGGAGTAACTGCTTAATGGTTAAAAAATTCCTGTTTGAGGAAACGAAAAATTTTGAAACTAAATAGTGGTAATGGTTGCACAATATTGTAAATGTAATTAATATCACTAAATTGTACAAATTGATTGTAAAAAATGATTATAATGGCAAATACAATCCATTTGATGTTTAAATGGATTCAATATCATTTAAGAAATTCTGTCATATGTTAAGAAATAAAAAATATCATTTAAGAAATTCTGTCATATGTTAGCTATAAAAAACATACTATTTATACAAGTCTAAAATAGGAAAAAATTCTCTTGCTTGGCTAATAATTTTTCCATTTGGTAACACACAGGATAATATTAAATCTACTGTTTTGTAATTATCTCATGTAACAACGTACTATGAAAACCACACCTTCACAATTTATTATATACCTATGTCATTTTTTTAATGCCTATGTAGTATTTCAATGTTTGGATGTACCAAAACTTTTGAGTCAAAAATCAATTAAAAGGCCAGCCCTGTGGCTCACTTGGGAGTACGCGGCGCTGGTAGCGCCGAGGCCACGGGTTTGGATCCTATATAGGGATGGCTGCTGCGCTCACTGGCTGAGCATGGTGTGGACCACACAGTGCCGAGGGTTGCGATCCCCTTACTGGTCAAAAAAAGAAAATCAATTAAAATATATAGTATATAAAATATGTATTTTTTTTCCTAAATTTTTCTGTTACAAACAATGCTGCAACCAAGAATGTTGCATGTATATCTTTGGCAATTATCTGCTTAATAAATTAGAATATATTCCTAGAATGCCCATGTCCTTGTATGGAGGAGTTACACCAGTACATTCCAGCCAGTTCCTCTGGCTTTCCAGAAGTTTCCCATAAAAAGAAGAAATTAGAGAATGCTGGCCACAATAACAAGTGAAGTGCCCATTTTCCTCAGTCTTATCTACTAAAATTGAAAAAGAAAAAGAAAAAAAAAAAAAAACGATGGCAGAAATGTACATCTATGATGGAACTAACAAAAGGTCTCAGACTCTTCTTAGAACCCTGAAATAACTTTGTTATAATGCATTCCAAACAATAATTCGCTAATCTAAAGAAAGATGCCAGGAGCTAGCACACAGCTTCCAGTCTGTGAGCAGATTGTGAAAGGTAGAAGGTGAAGAGGAATCTGAAATCCCTATTATGTTCTTCCCTCTTAGGTGAGTCCAGAAAGCATGATCAAGCTAAGGGAGAGCTTGTTTTTATCACTGCGGAAGAGGACAGGTTAGTACAGGGAAGAAAATTCTCTGCGAAATGATCATTCTGTGAGATAGCACCATATCATTGTTACGTTTTCTTTTCCTCAGAATCAGCTTGGGGATCACATGGAGAGAGGAAAATGCTACCAAGGACTCTGGCTATTCAGCCAAAAACCTCCTCCAGGCCATGGAAATGACTGACATGAAGAGGATCTTTGGTTCTGGGGAATCTTGTATCTGTCTATCTAACAGAGGTAAGTGGAGTAGAAAGGAAAGAGAGGTGTTAGCTAGTCAGAAAATAAGAAAAGAAAAAAGAAGAAAGCAAAGAAAAAAAAAGGTTTTATGAAAGTAACATTGACTTAATCAATTGCCAAGAAAGTCCACAACAACCA